AATTATAGTGTAAATGAAATTAAATTAAAAAAATAAAAAATATGGTTTTTTCATCGCATGTCAAATAGTGAAATTTCACTTAGAGATGTTTCTCCAGTAATAAGAGTATTCTACAGCCGATTTTATCCAAAATCAGAAACGTGGTATACTATACGTAAAGATCTCTAAATTTTTTACTCTTGGCCACGAAAACCTTACCACTCAACATTTTCAAGTATTGTGCATATTTGACTACACTTTATAGATATATTTACAAGAGTTAAGAGTAGTAAACTATTACAAAGGTTATGGAAAGTTTATTTATTGGGTTTTTTAAATATATTTATACAAATGGTTTACATACAGTGCTTTATTTTATTATTCCATAAATAAATTTACAATAAATTACTGAAATGACTGTAAAACGTGCAGTAAGCTGCTCTTCTTCTGTGCTCAAATATTCGGCATCGTATAGATTTACTATCTAACGAATTCCTTGCAGGTGGACAATATTTTATCAGCGCGAATTTTTACAATGAAGAAAGTACATATTGCTCATATTTTTGCTTGAGATTAGCATTTTTGAGAAATTATGTATATCTACACATTTGTTTTCTTTTAGGTCTGTACCATGACAAAGAGTATGTTTTTAATATATATGGTTGTTTTTGTTTCATATTCAAGCATATTTTTTGATATTTCGTTGTGGGCTATTTGTATTGTACTTACCACACAGAAATGTTAGTAATAATTTTGTTATATTTTTATCTGCCATGATTTTGTTCTGCTCTTAGGTTCATAAATTACGCCCAGGTTTTTATTACCTTCTCGAATTGAAATCAATTGAAAACGCAATTTAAAAAATCACCAATATTTTATTTATTTATACTGGTTATCTAAAAAAATCCAATTTATAAAAACTTATAATTTTTGAAGGATGACATTTGGTGTGGATCCAGATACACACATAGATTCATTAGAACAAGCCGAACTCGCAACTGTTGAGGGAACATCCAAATGGTCATGCAAGTTAACAATTACAGGTACACACAAAGAAAACAAAAACATATGTATGGACATTTATATTTTTTCATTTAAAAGCTGCACAACATGGTGCTTAAGTGGGAAATATAATAAAAAAAATTGCAGTACTTAATTGAACCCGTAAAGTCCTTATAACTAATACCTAAATCACCCTGCCAGTAATGCAATCATTAAACACATTTGTTCCAGTCATCTGAAATGTACTATTATACCAGTTTATCATCAAGTCGATTACTACAAAAAAATAAAAAATAAAAAACAAGCTTCCTATACTATAAGAAACGTTGATTTTGTACATCTTAGTCTTCGAGTATTTTTAATTTCTATAATCATTTAATTTGTATATGTATATAATGTTGGAGTAAGAATGTATAAATATATACTTTGAGTATATTCAAAAAAGTTTCAGTGGCTACCATAATGCAATGCTCACCTTCACACATCTAAGTATATCGTTTTTTTCTGAGAGATCTACTTCTTCAAGTTTCTTTAAGTACGCAGGAAGTAATGAAAATGTCTACATTTTCGCTTACACATAACTATCTCGAATCGGTTCTTGTTTTAAGCATTTTTACTACTTACATAAATCGATCTCATGCACTTTCCCTCTTTGTCCATCTGTCTACCTAACGCTTTGTAGCTAGCAAATATGTATGAGAATAGGCCAAAATCGTCTTCAAAAATTATTGTTATGAAACCAGAGATATGACCAATTCACATGGAACTTTTGCTTCGCTTTGCGTCAGACATTTAATTTGATAGAGAAATTCGATATACGCTTTTGTATGAGTACGTTGTTAATATCTGACTGTTTTTTCCTGGCACATAAACGGTTTATGGGGCGTATGGCGTTAGGTGTTTTGCTATTATCTTTGTAAAATCTTTGTTCCAAAGTTGTATTGTCCTTGATACTGGGAACGCCTTTTTGCGGTATGTTTTTCTTAGCATGACTTCCGAGAAAACTTTGTACTAAAGCGGTATCATCCTCCATACCTAAAACCCCGAATGACAAAGTAATTGAATATTTTGAAAATACTTCAGATGATCGAAAGCCGCTTAGAATATTTCTAACAAAAAAAAAAAATCATTTTAGAAAGGCTTAGTAGGGCAATAAAAAGTGCTTTTGCCATTCTCGTTTATTGAAGAGCGATTGGCCTCTTCTGTATTTTCGCACTATTGCCCTAAGTTATAAAAAAAATTATAAAAATAATAATTAAAGGAATATTATTGCATGTTAATCGCTACTTTCCTTAGTAAAGAGTTATGGGCCACATTAAGTAGGGTGACATTTTTATAAAAATCGTATGTTTTTTAAGTATAAATCGGAAGTCTTATCAAATTTTGTAAATCATTAATCAATGTTTAAATCAAATTATTAGAGTTTTAAATTTTTTGACAAAATTCTGAATTACAGAACTTTGAAAGCGAAGGTCCCAGTTTATTCTTCTGTGCTGAATATGCCCTTTTCTAAATTGCCAAATGTGCAACGAAAACACTTGATTAGCATTTAAATATTTTTTTTTTTACATTACAACAAACAAAATAATACTATTTTTGTTTACCTTAAATTAAATAAATATTTTTGTAAACTTTGCAATCACCTGATTCGAAGATCATTTAAAATTAGCTCAATAGGCTCTTTACGCACTTACATGTCGAAATTACTACAACCTGCTAAAACTCTTTAAACACGTGCTGAACTTTACATATTCGCAACAAAACTGCCAAACTTTATCAAAATAAATGCAGTTGACCAATGGTCACCATTAAGCCAGTAATAGTAAGAATCTGCCCCAGTTTACCGTATGCGTTCATTCACATAAAAAGTTTTCGGTGTGAAACCGCTTTGTCCAAGTGGCAGTCGCCATTTTTATTAGAGAGAAACATGGAAAGCTAAGTGTTCAGTGGTATAGTTAGTTTAGTATGAACTATCACTCAAAGCGAGGAAAGTTGTATGTGAATGGGTCAATAAAGAGATGCCCAACTCATCTGTCATTTGAAATGAGAGAGGAATTACTAAACGCTAAAACCTTCTGAACTCAGTCAACTGTCAAAGTTCAGGAGAATTTGACGTTTAGCTGGGGAAAAATAGGTACGGCCCGGTTGAAATCCTACCAAATAATATGTTAATGGAGAAATTTGGTGGTGCTGTTCAAAATCACTAAGAAAAGATTTAAAACAATAAAAATTAGGAAAAACACGAATTTGAAATTTAAGTGATGAAATTTTTTGTAATATCATGCTTTGTAGTATTAGTTTTAAATTGCATATGATAACAAGCATTTCTAATTAAGAGATAGTACGTTTAATTCTCTTTATTAAGTTACAAAGTGTATTTTTGGAATTTTTTTCCTATGTGATATTTTACCTCTAACTCATTCACTCACGTAATTTTTCAGAACGAATCGATCGAGGAATATTTTTGATCCGTTTATTTAGACATAAAAAAATGGCGGCAGAACTGGAAGTTGACGAAGCAAAATCAAGAATCTGCGACCGACAAACAAAACGCGAAAATTTCTGCACGAGAACTTGCACAAAATGCTATAAGGTCTCAATGCACGTTCCTGGATACAATCGGCGAAGATTTGAAGACGCGCTTTTCTAGAGTAGAGTAGAAGTATTGAATGGATTTCAACTGAGTTTGCTGCTTTCAGAAGAAGATGTGCTTTGAAAGATAAAGAAATGGAAAATCTTATTGAATATTTGATAGATAGATTCAAAATCCTTTGGTCGTGTGAAGTTTGAGACTCAAAGGTGAACCTGGAGGAAGAACCAAAACTTAAAAGACTACCAGTTACCAACTACTGCATTGGAAACGTTGAAGAACTGCAATGTTGACCTAAACCCCATAATTCCGACATTTCTTCTCATACAAGGAGTGTTCCAAAGTGAACAGGTCTATTTGAATCTTGCGCCCCCTGGATCTGAATCTGCTATCTTTATCGATTGTCCAGTGAGAACATTTCATCGAATGGAAGTGAAGTTATTGCGTTTTAAGTGTCAGTATGTTTCTTTATTGGTGCGGAAATGAGCTTCTATTAAAGAGGCAACAATAAATTTTGTTTTAAAATTTGTAAAACTTTTACCGAAACATTTCAATTGATGAAACAAGTTTATGGCGATGATTGTCTATCCCGTAGCAGAGTGCACGAGTGGTTTCAACATTTTCAAAGTGGTCTTGGGGACATAAATGACGATCAACATGTGTACCAATCAAAATCCGTGATCACCGGAAATTTCATCGAAACTGTGAGTGAATTCATCGTAAATCAGCCGAGCTCATCATTGAAATTTATGGAAATGAAATTGAACATCTCCAAAACATCGATTTATCGCCTTTTGATCGAACATTTATGCTTACGAAAGGTGTGGGCACGGTTTGTTCCGCAAAAATTTACTGATGACCAAAAATTGCTCAGAATCCGTCTCATCAATCGACACTTGTGACCGATTATTTGAGCAAAAATTACGTTTTACCCATTAACCACTGCCTTTATTCAATTGATATGGCACCGTGCGACTTTTTCCTTTTCGGAAAAATGCTTTTTCTCATGAAAGGAGAGCATTATGCACACGTAGAGGCCCTTCATTTGAATAAAATAATTTAATTTTGCCGAAAAAACCATTTGTTCTGTTTCCGCCGCATAAAAACGTGGCTGAGGACGAACGAGCTTCAAGATAGATTGATCGGCACGGCGTTACTGCACAAGCATCATGACATCGAAGTCACTACAGAAGAAGTTCTCGAAATATTCTCAAAACTTGACCCACATCGATTTGTTTTGTGAAATTTTTCTATTCAATTCAGTATTATACATTGCAATAAAGTATGCCACCCGCACATCTACGATTAATAATGTGTTTTTTTTTTTTCAATTTATTTATTATAATAGTCTTCATATTTCAAGTTTATTTATTACCCTAAAACCAAGACGCTCTCACACTGATATAAGTTGGGCATTCCTTTATCCCCGATAAAGCTCTCAGTGTACGTAGACGACCCAAAGCATTTCATTAACTCTGCCTCGACAATGAATTTTCCAAGTTATAAGTATATTTTTTTTAAATTTTTCGAGCCTTGTCTATCGTGAAATTGTCATTACAGCAAGCCTGCTTAGTCTTTGATATTTTTTATATAAATACTTTGGGTATGAAATAGCCTAAGCTAGAGGTGCCGAATTTTTGCTTTTAAAATTTCCTCGGGAATTTTTGTGATCTGCACGAATCGTGATTATAGTGTACAAGTACATTGTATAAATCAATCACATAAAGATATAATAAGGAGCAAAACTGCATTGTTCTCACATTTCAATTACTTTGCAATCTTTCAAACAAAAAAAAAAAATGTTTGTTAATATATTTTAATGACAATGTGGTGCCACGGTTGTAAATTTTTCTACAAAATGTATACCCTGGTATCTTTTATTTGAGTCGCAACAGAACTTTGAAACAGTTCTTAAGCAAAACTGCACCAACATTAGTTTGCTACAAAATTTACGTATTGTTTATTTCTACAATTAAATAAGTTTTGTTCGGTAGTTTGTTACCAGAGTACAAGCTAACTTCGATTATATAAAATGGCATAAAAGTATACATTTATTTATTTAATACCCAACCGGATACTAGAAACTTTCTCGAGGCACCGTTAACAAAAATGAATGTATGTGTTCGCTTAGCTCTGCTGCTTCCAATCTGACATTATATAAAATTGTTTATCGCTAAATTCAAACCATAAAAATTAGATAAATGGGCAACGGACATTTCTGTTTAAAAACGATCAGCTCTTATTTGCGTATGATCTGATTTTAAATATGTATAAATCAATGTTACGTATTCATTCTATGCTACAAACCTATCTTAACTATAAAATCTGAATACTTTCCTTTCACAAGTTTCAAGTACATAATTATCAAACATTCAGAATATATTTGTAATTTGTATAATCATCAGTTTACAATATACTTATGACGTAAGTTTGCGAGCTTAATCGTGTTCT